TGAAAATTTAGAAAGAAATAAATGAAGGATCATTACGCCTTGCGTGAAATTTTCCAATGATTTTATTTTTCGTTATATCTGTAAATCATTTATTACTTGTATACCAGACTAAATATTTCACTCGAGTCTATTAATATACCAAGTGGTTCCAATTTTCGAAAATAATTTTCCATTAGTAAGAGGAATTTTATTACTTCATAAATAAATGAATATATTGAAAGATCGAGAGCAATGTATATTGAAATATATATTAGAATTAATATATATTAAAATATATTAATTATCTAATATATATTAGAACATATTAAAAAGAGATTAATTCAAAGCTGTTGTAAACAAATACGTAATAGTTAGAACTTAGTATCCGAACATCAACGAGAGTCACTATGTCCGTGATGTCCGAACATCGAATAAGAATCACGAAATATTTTAAATAAATACAAAATTGAAACATAACGAAATAGAGTAGCTAGCGAAGAATGATCGATGAGCCGACAGATCCGAAGCCAGCTTTTCCCAGGCTTGTTCTCGTTCACGTAAAGCTCTAATTATCATCATCGATTCGCGAGGAAGACGGGGTTCGAATTTTTCAATCTGGAACTGGTCGGTCGAGTTCTATCGAGTTTTCTCTTTTCGATCGTCGAGTTCAGCGGGTCGGCGCGCGATACCTAAAGGTGAAACGAATGCGCGGCGGCCATCGCGGCACGCGGCGTATTTCGCAGAGATAAATGAACAGATCCCCGAGCCCCGAGCATAGCGAGCGTGTGCCATTTGACGATCGGATCACGAACCACGGCGCGAGAACATCGACCTTAAAAACGGCCACTGAAGGAACGCCGCGTCGGCCACACGGTGACTCATCGATCTGCTCGCGTGCTAAGAGGAATCGTAATTAATTTCCAGGAGGATTACCGCGATGCTTTCGCAAAACAGCTCCGAGATATCTCTCCCGTCCGAGATAACTCTCCGCTTCCTTGTACCTCTCGCGGTGAATGTGTCTTATTTACATGTTCGAATTAGTCGAGTCATCGTGATCATTGCAGAGCGTAGAACGTATGTAGACTGTCTAACTCTTGGTTCAAGAATTATCAGATATAATTCAGTTGGGGATATTTCTTTTTTTTTTTTTTTTTTTTTTTTTTTTCGTTTCGTGAGAGGAATGTACCTAGGAGGGTTTACGTATGGCTCTTAGTTGAACGCCAAGGGCCTCGGGCTGCTTAGGCCTTCTCTTCTAGTAAAATGCTTAATTAGATTCAACGTACGTTCCTACGCGTATTCTGAATATCATTATCGTATTTGTAAAATCGGCGGAGTTGCAGCAAATTTTGTTGACCAACTGATCCTTTCTCTTTCGAAGATATATTCAAATGAAACGTTAATTAATTTCAATGCAGTACGATTTACATTTGTAATGTAAATTCAGTTTGTTAATTAGCCGCAAGTAGAATCTAATTTACCAAAGGTTAGCCGGTTTTTATTAACTCTATAGCTATTGTTAAATTTATCATAATAAATTAGAAGAATGAAATCTTTGAACAGTACGACACATAATGCTGAAATTAATCAGCGCAGGACATGAGTTTTCATTACTATATGTATTATTACGTAAACATTAAATGAATAATACAAAATAACGAAAGATATTACTGTTTTATGCAATGAGAACCTCAGAAGACTATAACCAAAATTCATTAATATATTACATAGTCCGGATTATGTTAATAATATTAAAAATGTGTAGAGCCTCTCTCATTTGAACCACTACGTTTCTAATTCTAAGTATAATCTTAATCTAATTCGAAATTCGTTATAACTAGAACAAAATATCTGTTAGCAGATGGATTTTTAGTTATTAATGGATATTTTGTTCTGATAATGTAATAATCGAAAAGGGGAGCTCCACTCTAAAGAAGGAATAAAAGGATAAAAAATGAATTTTTTTAAAAATAAATAAGTAAAATTTATTTTGTACCTTTTGTATCAGAGTTAATTAATTTATTTTAATAATTTTAATTATCTCGAAAGGAAATGATCTAAATATATATATATTTTTTTTAAATAAAAAAAATAAATATATATTTAAAAATTAAATGTTTGTTGTATATTTATTATCTAAATTTTTGTTTAAGTAAATTTAATTTATATATAGTAATAATTAATTAAATATTATTATTTAATTAATTTTATTATATATAAATTAAATTTATGAGATAAACTATAAATTTATTTATATAATATTGTAATTTTATTTTTTAAATTATGATTTTAGTATTAATTAATAATAAAAAATATATCACAGATAGTCTTATACTTTAGTAGATATAGTTGAATAATTGAACTCTTCTTACATTCGATAATACGATTCCTTAAGAATTATTAGATACAATTTAAAGATTATTTCACGAGAACCGTATCTCGCAATCAGAGAGTTCCTCCTGGAGATTTCGTTTATTCTTCGAAGTGAAAGTGTTAGCAATGCACAATGATTTTATTCTCCCGAAGTTAATAAACTATGATTACACGCTGAACTATGCGCTCGAATAATTGTACGTACCGTGAAAAAATATCGGTGCATTAATTAATGTATTCCTGTTCCTTTCACCGATTGTACAATCGTCGAAAACATTTCGATGCATCCGTATCTACTCTGTTTTTTCTGTTTTACACATCACGGACGTATGAAAGTAAATTTTTTTCTTTTTAAAGTAACGAACGAAGAACTGACTTTCGACGAATGTGTCTTCCCTTTTCTCTTTCCATGCGCAATATAGTCAGAAGGAAAGGAAGCCGTTAAGAACAATTGTTAAAGTAATTCAGTCTATCGTTTACGTTTTATATAATAACGCGAAACTCTAGCCCAGACGGCTGGCGTTCGTTTCTCAATTTCATCCGTGACTGAAATTTATCGATCTTCTCTAATTATACATTTACTTTAAAGCGCCAATCTAACGGGAATCTAACTGGCAGTCATTATATCACGGCAATTAGGAATATCATTGAATAAGACGTATTCGAAGGGTGATGTTCAACGTCAGAAAATTCACAATCGTCCAATGATTAATAACCATTAGCTGCCCGAACGATAGCCGATAGAACGAATCTCGGTGAAAGCCGGACAAATAAACAATGTATCGTATCGTACGTTCTTCTATTCATACCGATACGTGAATATGTATATATGTATATATCGCGAATATGTATATATCGCTATGTGCCTACATCACCGATGTGCGTATAGATTTTTTTTTTTTTTTTTCGTTCCTTCTCGTAGGAATATATGATCACTTCGATCCGAGCGCGTCTATGAACAAATATTAGCTCGCCCGTTGTCGGAACGTTTATCAAACATTTACATTTGAGGTCCGATGTGGAGTACGTTAGGAATTGTAAGACGCTGGCACGAACTGGTCTGACCATGGAATTTAACGATTGTAGGCTGTCCGAGCTCCTCGAATTTCGAATTGCCGAAAGGCTATTAAGACACTTTTATATTTCTAGGAACGTAAAACTCACTGTTCAAATGATGGACACGTGAACCACTTCGAATTCCAGGTTGGTAAAATATTATTTCTATCAGATTACTGTGCTTCTAAAGGGAAATCGACCTATTCGAGCGTCGAACATCGGTTAAGTCTGGTAGAAATTTTATCTTATTGTTCTAAATCGGGTTAATTAAAGTCTTTTGAACATCTGTAAGGATTGTATTTTCTTTTTTTTTTTTTTTGCAAATGAAAGTATGATGTTAGAAATATTTGAGACTGTTATAAATATTAGAGACTGCAGAAAGATCAATATTAATTAAAAATAAAAATAGTAAATAGTGGGATAGTCGTTGATAATCAAAGCAGTGATGTGACTAAAAATCTCCATTTAGAAAAAGAGTTTTTTCTTGTATACAAAATATCTATTCTTGAAGAACTATACATATATATGTATACATGTTTATTGTTAGAAATGAAAAATGCAAGAACTAAACCCTAAACTCAATAAAACTTTGCTTATATGAACGTATTGAGAGAAAATAGTTTATAAAAATTGGAGCTCGTATAATAACAATCCATTGATTCTCTTTTCTACTAATGATTTTTCGTTCATGTATAATAGGAATTCAAGTCTAAATAAGTAAGTTCAACAAGAATTCATTTAATCTAGTGTTTGACTAAAATTTGTTTCAAATAAATGGAGTTTTAGCATAAATGAAAATATAATTTGACGAATATCGCATTGAAGCTTCACGTCTCAATAGTTTTTTTTTGTCGAAAAAAGTTAAATAAAATTTACCGTATAAATTTATATACAAATTTATTTACGAAAATCTATTTTTGATACTTAGAGATTCACATACATCTAAAAATTTAAAAAGAGATCATCCTTCCATTTTAACTTGTTCAGAAAGTACCAATGACACGTAGAAATCCACATACTTTTATTAGATTTCAAATATTTAGAGGAAAAGAAGAATTTTTAACCTTTTCATCGACAATAATTTATTAATTTATTTACTAAGTCAAAATTATAAAAAAAAACAATAACGATGTTATACTCATTTATTGGAAGACATAAATAGATCAAAATAAAAAGTTATGAAAAAGTTTACTGTTATAATATACAATTATCATATTAAATGTATCATTATTTATATTTATTCGCTTAATATTCTTTATGCTAATTGTATACAGACTTTGAAAGTGCTTTCATTGTATGTATTTATACGTTCATTCTCGCGAATAAGAAATATTGTCAATATTTCACAAGTTTAACCAACAAATTAATTAAAATCCACGACACGTCCGGCATCCCATTTCTTTTCCCCGTTATTAAAATATTAAAAATTTGACACGTGTGTTGAAAAATCGATTATATAAAACGTTAGACTTATATTTCAAATAATTTCATTACATATATTCTCAGATTTCTAAACAAATGTACACATCTAAATCAAACATTCAAAATTCTTACCGGATTTATTACTGATTAATTCGTACTTGTCCCCATTTGGATCCAGTAGATTTTCATTTTGCTGTTCGTTGAACATTTCCACAAAATATAGCCTTGAGAGTCCCGTAAACGTTGCCTGACTCTCTCACAACGGAACATTTCTCAATGAAGTGGGATCCTCGAGTCTGCTATAAATTACAGTAAGTAGTATCTCGTTGTGTTCTAACGTTTAACGGAGCTTTCAGCAAATATGGGAGCGCGCATAGACCTCCTCCTGTCTTGTGTTTAAAGGCCTGCTGATTCCCTCCTGTGTGTATACGCAAGTAGCCACCATTCCGAAGCTTCCGCGGCACTCGTGAGAGAGTGGAACAGCTATCTTCGAAGTGATACGATCTCTTGACTGAGACTAGCCAGCAGAGATCTCTCGGCTCGCCGTTGAAGAGGAAGTACGTAAGTTGTAGTTACAGTATACGCTTCCGATGATGCACGAGAAAGACAACAGAGCTGTCTTTCTCGGACTGTGGATAATACAATCGAGAATCCACTTGCAAAGAGCTAGTCATTCTAATTACAATCTTAATTGCACCAGTGATTCATTAGATTTTTCAGGGGACCTCTTATCCAGGAGATCGTGGAGCGTTGTTGACCCTGGCTAGAAAGTTTTCTGTGTCCGATGACTTTGCAAGACGACACCAGGAAATAAAAGTAGTCGAAATCTCAGATTGCCAGTAGAATCTTCTTTTTTTCTTGTTTGGTGAAAAATAAAAAACGTTAAACGAACAGATAGAGCAAAAAGTAAGAGAAAGTATTAGAACCAGGAAATTTCGAAGGATATTTTTGTGGAGATTGATGAATGTTTCATCGAGAAATTAATAAATTGGAATTAGTTAACATTTTTCTATGAGACGGAATATATTATATTAATATGTTATTTATATAAAATGTTACAGTAAAATAAAAATGCAACGAATTTTTCGCATTATTCACATTTGTTCGTTTGTGTTACTTTTGTCGGTAATATTCACGTTATTTCAGTCGTTTTAAAATATTTGTACGAATAGAAATCCGCTAATGTAGCGATCGATGTATTTAATCACGTCATTCCAGCGCAAGAGGTTAAGGATTTCAAGAATAGAAATTTCTCAGGGGTACCGAAATCAAAGTACAACCTCGATCTTTTGATTACTTCAGTTCACCGTTCTCAGGCTCGATTTTATTGTCGTATATTTTTTACACAGTAAATATACATCATGCTCGTATTTATATTACATTATACACCACACATTCGTGCAAAAGGATACTCTCTCTCACGACAGCGAACAGAGATAAACAATTTTTTATACTCCCTCTCTTCCTCAACTGTGAATTAATTCCACGAACGTAATTCGTTTTGCGACTGTAAAAGTCAGAGAGAAGAAAAGTACGCCAAAAAGAAGAAGGAGAAAAAGAGGGATTCAGGATTGACGTAATGATTTGCGGGCTGAATCAGATACGTCCTACCGTAAAACGACAATTTCTAGGAAAAGGCGGCCGTTCGTACTGTTATGGTAGCTCTCGGATTACCAACTGACAGTGCTACTTTCAAATGAATCCAATACTTTCTACCGTTCGATTACCGATTTGCGGGCACCGGCAACCCGATCGATTTATCCATCGGATTGCCTGGCCGTGTGCATTATCGTTTCAACCGTTTATCTAAAAAACGCAGCAGCCGGGCAAAAAGCATCTCTGACGCAAACGATGAATTCTCCACGTCAGTCCTGCAGAACGTGTAAATTTCGCGTTATCAGCTTGTCAGCTACGTAGCCGCCGCATCACGTGGCTAATTTCATCGCGTGACCTCGTCAGATGCTCGATTCGTCACGTGGATTTACTTCGTTCCCGACTAACGATCGGTAAGAGCACCGCATTAACGATCAAAGAGATACCCTCTTTAAATATGTACTCGACGCTCGTGCGGACGGATTTGATTGATGTAATCCTTGCTCTCGCTAGGTCCCCATTCCGTTCCCTTCTAACCCGTTGCTCTTCGAGATCGGCGTCAATATGCTCAATTCCTGGTCGGAATTCGGCGGCGTTAGCGTGTCCGTAGGTGTTCTCGAGATCGTTCTCGCTTGTACGATCTTCGACGTGTCGTTCACGGTGCCCTCCGACTGCGAGTCCTTCCCCTCCGACGGATTGTTAACGGTACACTTCTTGAAGTGCGTTCTCATGTTGCTGCTTTGCGAGAATCTCAATCCACAATTCGGGCAGGAGTACGGTTTGGTGCCGGTGTGGTAATTCAAATGAGTCTTCAGATGATGCTTCTTCGTGAACGCCTTCGAGCACAGCGTGCACTGGTAAGGCTTTAATCCGGAATGTAATCTCGTGTGCAACGTCATGTTCGATCTGTCGGCGAAAGCTTTCTGGCAAACCTGGCACTGATACGGCCGTTCCCCCGAATGAGTTCTAAGATGCTGCTTCAGCAGCATCTTCCTGGAAAACGCTTTCCCGCACTGTTCGCACTGGTGCGGCTTCACGCCGGTGTGGATCCGCACGTGCATGTTGTAGGCGACCCGCTGATTGAAACTCTTGCCGCATTCCGCGCAGCCGTACTCCTTCCGGTTACGGTGGATCTTCATATGAGAGCTCAGATAGCCGCGGTCGTTGAAGTACTTGCCGCATTCTGGACAGGTGGCCGCGAATTCCCTCGTGCCCTCGTGGACGCTACGGTGGTACTTGTAATTTCGCAACTGGGAGAATTGCTTGCCGCAGTCGGTGCAACGAAACGGCTTCTCCCCTGAGTGCGTTCTAACGTGCACCTAAATTCGCAATTAGAGAAAGGGAAATGAGTGAGTTTTTGCCAGTCGTATCTTTTTCTTTTTTTTTTTTTTTTTTTTTTTTTTTTTTTTT